ATGCCCTTGACAGCTGGCTCGGCGAGATGAAACAAGAAATGGGCTCTCAGGCCAACATGGACAGCATCGTGTTTGTCGTCTGCGCCAACAAGGTCAGACCGAGTGCAGCTTAAAGAGAGAGGAGCTGAAGCACCTTGATTTAAAACTGAGGATGTGCTGTGGAGATGTATTAAGGCCCTGAATGAGATAAAGAAGGATTATTTTGAACTGTGACTCATACTAAGCTGCTCCAGCACAGTCTGAGAACTAAAAAGTATCTGTTTTGTAAAATGTATTGTTTAAAGTGAGTGGGAAATCTTTTATTGAGGTTTATTAAACACACATGCAGCTGGAGGTAAATGTCTGCGTGTTCATACAGGTGGACCTGACGAAGCGGCGAGTGGTGGATGAGGGCGAGGGGCGCCTGTGGGCGGAGTCCAGAGGCTTTCATTACTTTGAGACATCAGCACAGAGCGGCGAGGGCATCAACGAGATGTTTCAGGTATTTCTCGCACACATGCGCAGCTTCCTGTACATGTTTTTTTATGGACCGTGTTTCAGTGAGTGCCGTGTTCTCCACAGGCGTTCTTCTCCTCCATCACTGACATGTGCGAGAACGGCGGAAAGCGCCCGGTGTCGGAGGTCAGCGTCGGCTTCACCAAAGAGCAGGCTGACACCATCCGACGTATCCGCAACAGCAAAGACTCGTGGGATATGTTGGGAGTCAAACCCGGGGCCACGCGGTGAGTCGCCAGCATACAGGCCATCTTTTCAATAAAGTTGTTTTGTTTTTTTGTCACATTGTGTCTAATGCAGTTTACTATCTTTTCATTTCTAGGGAGGAAGTGAACAAGGCGTACAGGAAGCTGGCAGTCCTGCTGCATCCAGATAAATGTGTTGCCCCCGGCAGTGAAGACGCATTCAAGGCGGTGGTGAACGCCCGCACCTCACTGCTAAAGAACATTAAATAACACACACACACACACACACACACACACACACACACACACACACACACACACACACACACACACA